TTTCTATTGCAAACTATGCCTCGAAAGCGACACGTCGATGTTTAGTACAGGCGGTATCTTCAACTACGTACTCGCTTCTATTCATGTTGTTAACACCTTATTTAAGCCGTGATTTCTTTCTTTAAACAATGATCTGCCGCCAACCGAAAGGTCATTGTTTGCAATTTAGCGTATAAAGTACAAGAAGTCGGGCATTTAACTTGGCGACAGAGTGGGACATCTTGCTACATTGTTACATTCCGACTTCAATTCTTAATTTATTCACGTAATTCCCCCATGAAAACACATCCTAACAAACCACAAAAATGCGGACCCTGAAATGTATTGCTCAACAACCAGAAGAAACAGTTTATTTGTTTATTCACTGATAGACCAATACAGACTATTTTGTCTGCCTACATAAACTGTTACACTCTTTTCTCTTTCCTTCGTTCAACGTTCTCAATTCATCACGCGACAAACCACAAATGAGCATTCGAGCCCTGACTGAAACAGATTTGTATTAGATGTTATTCTATTTATCTGCCTGCGAGGCACACAGGCCCACTGCACAGTGTCAATCACTCGGGACCATATGGTGTCTAGTACAAAGGCGGTGGCGAGTAAATAAAAAAAAACAAAAAACATCTGCTGCATTGTGTAAAATAGGGTGTTAAATCATGAAAATGCCCTGCAAAAGACGAAAAATAAGCTGTGAGTAAGATAGTCATACATTCGTTGTGCATTTAATATATTAACATTAGATATGAACGCATATCGAATATAATTTATAACCAATCTGTTTTGGATCGTCCAAACCAGGACCAGATCTTCATGGCAACATGTTGCTTGTTTGAGTGGAGTGGATCGCCAACAGCCTACCGGTTTGTATATACAATAACATGGCATAGTTTCAAAACTCTTGTATTTCATTTCCACTGAAGATTACTACATGCCTCTCACCATTCTTGATTCAACCCTTGCCGTCCGTGCAGTATTTATTTTTTACATAAATAACACGGCGCTCGTTGCTGCCGCTTGTGACACGGAAACAATAACAAGCGTCTAACAAAAGAATCACACGATGCACGATGTGTTAATTAACCATGAGGGTTACACCACGGTTACTAACCGTGGTTACACAACCCCCAACGTTTTTGTAACCATAAAGCACTGCGTCACTGAAACCGATAACCCTTGTGGCCATATTTTATTTTTTAACAATCGACAACCCTTTTTTATTAACAAAGCTTGATAAGCATCACTGAAATCGACAACCCCCTTTTTTTTTATTAACAAAGCACATAGGCATCACTAAAATCAACACCCTTTACATTTTATTGTGATATGACTCTGGCAGTCTGTAATACAGCGCTCGCTGTAGCATCACTGAGATCAAAGACATTAGAAAGAGTTTTCTATTGTCTTTGCTGAGATCGACACCCTTTGACAAACCATTAACATATATGCTGGCCGAGTGCGGTCACTGGCCGTGACCGGTCACCGGCCGAGTAGAAATCTGGCCGAGTTCGGTGGTCACCCCCTCTACAACCTCATGCAGAAACTCATGATCGTGTATGTCACATGGTTGCGCGTTAGAAAGTTTACTGACCAATAAAAAGCTTTATTTGTTACAAAGACTGCCAAAAAGCGCTTGGAGCTTTGCATTTCTGATGTCTTCATCTTTGGCTTCATTTCTGCCGATATATGTTGCACTGACATCATGAGCTTTGAGGTATAACACCCACTCTTGAGGTATGTATGGGGGTCTAAAAAATGTAATTGTTAAATACTTGCTGATTACCGAACCGTGCGGTATGTCGTCGGTAAATACTTGTTTTGGGAATCGTGCTCTTCGCAGAGTGACACTGCGATCCTGTCGCAGAGTGCAATAATCAACATTCGGAGAGTCGCACAATCGCGTCGCAGAGTTAGTTTTTAGACCCCCATACATACATGCACTCTTCTATAATACCTCAGACAACTAATTATATGTAGTTGATAATACTCAACAGTGATGACAACACTGTTACAACGCTTGATGATTGCAAGGACGGAACAAAGTAGCTTGAATAGCTTTGGTCTGAATACTTGTGGGTTGCATGATGTATGGATATCGTCGCTGTATTGCCACGACATCCAAGCCAACACAGCTTCCACTGTGCGCATTTATTCTCGGATCAGGCATTTTCAAAGCCTGGCAACCATCATGGTGAAAACAAAGGCCAAAAACTCTCAGAAAACCATACTTCGGGATGGTTGTTGACACCCCCCTGAACAGTGTAACAAGATTACTCCTACATATGCCTTAGGTGATTCTTGTTGCCATAAACTTGTTTCAATTACTTTTTTTGGATTAAGCGAGTTTCTTGATTATCAATCTGTCTATATATCATAATGTTTTTCCCAGCACGAAATGTATACATGAGGTTATTACAAGAATACCTCAAAGTATGCACGAAGACAGTACAGCTGGAGTATCGACCAATGCACAGCGGTGTAGTGTCCGAGTTCATACTTTGAGGTATTCTCGTAATAACCTTATTATCATGCATCTTTTTCTTCCAAAGATACATCATGGGAATGTCGAAATCAGCGAACTTCTTTGTGTGGAGTCCGGTCAAACCCTGATGGCGGCCATGTTTGTTTTTATTATTAGAGGATGCTTACACGCGTGTCATTCTACATTTGGAATTCGTATTTCCTTTTATGGTAGGATGAAAATACCCCGTAAAATACCACAAAATTACGGAACACTGTAACTTATGGCGTTACGGTGACAAATGTATAATATGTTTATTATTATACTATAATGAAACTTAACAATTCATTTCAGGCAGAAATCAACTAAAATTACAATGATAATAAAAATAAAATTGAAATGAAATTTACATATAGTGACTGATAAGGTTTTGTTTGATCAGACACAAAATTTATAATTTATTACATCTCTAAAAAAAAGACAATTTTAAGTCAAATTTTCACCAATAACTTGAATAATATACATGCAAGACAAACCAACATCCCCAAACTAATTAATATATCAACCGTGTAAGTTTGAATTTATTCAAGTTGTAACCACAAGAAAAAGGGTAAAGCCAAAGTCAACGACAACAATGAGGACAGACATTTCCCCTCGTATACCTTTCCCTTCATTTACAATACAGGCGGTAAAAAGGTAAAGGTGTTAATCGGTCTTTTGCATGACCTTCCAAAGGTCACCCATCCTGGTATTTGCTGGGGGTACAAATTCACCATAATGAGAGTTTCTCAGTTGTGACTGTTCTTATTGAAGGACGAAAACAGTTAAACATGGCAAAGTATGTTGGAAATTGTTTGAGAGAAAAAAAAAACACAGATACCAGGATGTCTGACATTTCAGGAAGCATTCATAAGAAATACTGTAAATGCATTAATTATTCACCGAGTTTTAATTTCGCTATTTTCACCGATAAGTAAAATCCGCTAAAATAAATTTATGTTAATACGTAAAATAACAATAAATCTGTGAAATTAAAACACACTGAATATGCTCAAAACATAAAAATTAAGTTAAGTGTCAGTGAAAATAAATGGTTTTATAGTATTGGACGTACACTGATTCAAGAACAGATATATATCTGATATATTTCACATTTGAGACATGAACATAAACCTGTAAGAATCACTTAGGGCATATATCTGATACATCTTCTTCAGCATTATTCACCGTATATCTTCCTTCATTAATTATATTTGACCAAGAAACAATGTTACCATTTCCTTCACACGATGTGACTAATTCAACAAACTCTCCAAATTCCAGATGTCTATCCCACATATTAACTTGTGTCAATTTGCCAATAAATGCATGTGCTCCGTCTGGTTTATACCCAATGTAAATGACACCGCCTCTGTACAAAACTCTTGATGTGATTGATAGCTGTCCGGGGTTCCGAGCACCGTCTACGTAAACTCCAACATCAGTCATATAGTCACCCCCATGCATTGCTAAGCAGACATGATGCCACGAACCATCATCGGGAATAGTGTGTGTACCAAATACAGTGGAACCCATGTTGTGGTACTGCCCCACAGAATTCAGAAATAGAGTCAGTCCATGATAATATCCAGATACTGACGGTATCTCTGCTTGGTAGTGCAGTAGAACTGTATGTCCACCATAAACAATCTCAGAGTTAGTCTTCACCCATACGCAAAGTGTCAAATCCATCATCATAGGTATTGGTTCAGTAGGTTCAATAACAACAGATGAATTACCATTAAATATGAAATTTTTTGATTCTGAAAAGAATCAGAAAATTAAAAATAGTTTACCTAAATCAAAAGTAAACAAAACAAAACAAAATTAAATAATTGTATCTGCCTTATTAGAAGAGTATATCCAATAGAAAATATCACTTTTTACCAAAAATGACAAAAATATTCATCAAAATTAGAGAACTGAAGGTATCATCACGAAATGAACAAATCTGACAGAGGACTACCCCAAGAATCTATGTTGCATATATGAAAGCATTTGGTTTAACAGTTTTGAAGAAGCAGACAAAAATGACACCTGACAATGACGGACAATCAGTAATACGAAAGATTACGCGCCATTGACTTCGTCAACAGCGGAGCTAAGAATATGATGTATAATGTAATTGTAAAGTTTGATGATGATCAGTCTATGTATATATGTCAGCGACATATCTCTACAATAGCATTTGCATTTGGCTATTTTGAAATTGATCAGATTTTGAAGTTTAAATCAGCCAATACATTTCTAAATATACAGGTCAGGACGGACGCATACACATACAGAGGTCAATAAATAATTGAGTCTCCCAAACAGGAACTAATAAAACAAAACATACACCCCTCTTTACATAATTCTCACCTTCGTTTGTGTCGTTAATATTACTATTATTCTGACAAATCAGAGAACAGACTTTCTTTAGTTCATCCACTTCACGTACAATGGTGTCAATCTTCTTCTGGTAAGCCAACTCAAGAGAACTGATTTGTTTTTTCAGCTGCTCGTTCTCTGACTCAATTTCTGTCATTCTTATAACTGTATCAGCCATGTTGGGGCACATATCCACAGAGTCTCCACGGGGTAATAGAAACGTATATGCGCACTCATTGTCATCTATGCATCGCTGTTGATAGTCAAAACATCTGTGTATTCCAGATATGGTATTCTGACACTCAACCCTGATGGCAGAGCTGAGTAACAAAATGCGGACAAAGTAGGACAGCATTGTAGTAGAAACAGTCATTGTTATCCACACACTCAAGATACTTGCTAAATTTATAACCTGATTTATCAAGTACATTTCCCATTAAACAAACAAAAATAAATTTATTCATGGCTTAATTACTGCTACAAGGAAGTACTTAAAAATACATTCAGTTTTAGTTCAACTACTTCAAGACACTTAAAACACGATATAGCGGGTCAGAATCATGAATGTTTAACCTTGCAGTTGAAAAAAGATCAATTAAGCACTACTTAATTAAGAATTATAAACTAAAAAACATAAAAAAATTGTTGTACACGAAATTATAAAAATATTACTTATTTTGACCATTCAGTTTTAGTTCAACTCTCCAAGACAGTCACAAAACACGATATACATTGCACATGTACCTGCAGGCACAGTCATTTGTTGTTGAGGGACTCTGTACCAGGTTACTGGTATATACATGAATGTTAAACCTGGCAGTTCAAAAGAGAACGATCAATTAACCACTAATTAATTAAGGTAGAAGCCTACTAATGAATGCAAATACCCAGAATGTACAATGTATTTATTTTCCAATAAATTGTACTTCTGGGTAAAACAAGAATATTAACTAAAAAAAAGTTCAGGATCACCAGCCTAATTTTTAAGAGAATAATGGTTGTATTTCAGTGCTCATTTTGGCATTATTATAATAATGCTTTTACCATATAGGCTCCTATGGCAGAGATATTATGCCATATTTCAAATTGTAGGCTGGTGACATGGAGTGAAAATACTGGTAATCTCGGGGTATTTTGTTGTTGTTCTGAATTATTTCAAAAACTTAGGTTTTAAAAAGTATCAAAAAAATTGCCGTACGGCAATTTGTAGGCTGGTGACATAGGTTAGAAAAAGTATATACTGCAGGTGTACTTTCGTTCCCCTCCATTATTTCAAAAAGTGTCAAAAAATTCAATTTTCTTTAACATTCTGCTCCATGGAATTGTTCTAAAAATAGGACAAGTTTCTCAAAATACATCACTGTAACACACAAAAGAATGCTATTTCATTGTGTCATGGGACAATAGTTTCATGATTTTACATAATCAATCAATAAACATTGTCATGTGATTTATAACCAACTTTCCAAGAAATTACGAGTCCCAGTAGGGTACATTCTACCTTAATACACCTAGCTGGAAGAAAGATGCTAGTATTGTTTTATATAGTATCAAATGGCAGTTACATGTTATTGCGTAGGTACCTAACACACCAATACATTTCTCATTCTGTAAATTTCTTGAAAGAAATGTGCAGCTCATTTCTGTGGAGTGTGGGAAACCCAAGTTAGAATACATTTTTAAAAATCTATATGTGAATGGGAGTATGAAACTATTATTAATAATAGCAATTTTCGACTTATATAAATGCTTAGAAGAACTTTATATTTTCAATGTACTGTATATAAATCATATCGTCACTTATAATACACTTATTAGAGGTTATAAACGGCATGCGAGGGTATTTGGTAGCGGATATAAGACCTCTCAGGGGAAAATTAGCATATTTGGCGGGATATAATCACCGTGCGCAGGTATAAACCCTGGCTTCAGCCAATCAGATGGCTAGATTCACACTAGTCATATTAAAATAAACAATATAACAATATTTCCCAAATGTCCCCCAAATTTCTGCCACTTATCAACAGGGGTTGGCATGGAGCTGGGAACAACCACTGGTGGCGCTGTATACAATCAAAACCTATTTAGGATTGCCTACACTCATGCAAACTACATGTACAGTGTAAAAGCAAGAAACACTTTTTTAAATTTGGTGACCAGTTTAGTATGATAGTTTAGTATTTAGCATGTACAGTCTTCAAATAACCACAATAGACAGAGTGGGGGTGAAGACCGAATATACACGATTTCAGCATTTCATAATAACTCCTCTTTATTAATAACTGCACTTTGAAATAATATTCATGGGTATGTATACGTCATAACCTTGTTAAAGTTATTATTATTGTGTATGCATGCTTTGAGCCCTTTCTCCGTATTCCACAACGCATGCGTCATCACAGTGAGGTCAATTGCAATTTACATTTTATGCAGGTAAGCTCAGCACTGTCAATAGGGTTTGTCAGCCACACATAAGTGACGCTACGAGATATATCCTCAGGGCAGAGCTATGTCACAAGATGTTCCACGTTGTTAAGACGCGCACCACTGTACCACGTATTTCTATGGGCGCTGCTGAGAAACGCAGAGCGAAGAGCTGGTGAAAATTCAAGAAAACAACAGGAACTCAACTTTGAAGTAATCTTGAACAATCAAATTTATGTGCGTTACACACGCAGGGGTTATCTTGTTACACTGTTCAAGGGAGTCTCAACAACAATCCCAAAGTACTGTTTTCTGAAAGTTTTTGGCTTTTGTTTTCACCGTGATGGTTGCCATGCGATGAAAATGCCTGGATGTCCGCCCCCGAGAATACACAAGCCACACCGACCCAACTGCTGAGATTGCAAAAGATTTGTACACACTCCCACCATAATATGCAATGACAATTCTGGTTCCTCCATAGCTTTGGATAGATAACTCTGGGGTATATAGTTACAGTCAATGGCTGGCCTGCAAGCGCATACGAATTGTACGAGAAAAAGGATTAACCTCATAAAGTCCACTCACCTGTTTGTACAGAAATGACTTGGCTTTGAATTCAATTTCATAGTATTCTATTCGTGCATCTGTCTCGCAGGGTGATAGATGTTGTAATATTCCATGAGATTTCCTAATGTTTATACTATCTATAGTTCTCACAGTTGATTTATGAACATTTTTGTTATTTTTGCTACGAAATGCGGCGAAATCATGAGTACCAATAAATACTTCACACGCCTGTTTCATCTTTTCGATGTCTAATCTAAAAAAGATACAGATATCTTTGCTTTAACCTTTTCACCACCAGTTCCATCTTTTCATTACAAATTCACAAAATAGTCCTGTTTATAGTCTGCACTTTCCTTCAGAATATTGGGACAAAAATAGCCAAACTTTTTTAGTGAAAACTAAAAAGTGAAATTTTGTCTGTTTCCTGTTATCCAGGTAAGAGAGTGTGTACAATTGTATACTGAAATCATTGTTGAAACATGCCTATAACTGCATCTTAGCATTAACACTGGACAATTTTGTTTGGTATGGAGAAAAGAAATCCATATGGCTTTCGACTTTTGCTAAAACAATAATTATTATTATTATGTTTTTCTCTAGCAATTCAACCATCATACATAAAATGTCTATATTTAGATGCTGTCTGTCTACCTTGATGTTTCTTTTTATAGACACAAAAAATAAAACTAGATTCACCTCAATGTTTTTTTTGCATTTGGTTTCTTTATTTCCTCCACTGATATCAGTAATTCTACAATAATGTTACAACAGACAAAATCCATTCATTAATTTATACATATTTATAATATTTTAATGTTCAGAAATATTTATTTGTTCATGCTCCAAATAAGGTTGTATTGTCAGGAAAATGTAGTTTGAAGCATTCTACTTTAATAAATGATATTTGTATTTGCTGTTAATTGTACATGACTGAACATCACTAAGCAGTTACATGTACACAGTGGTGAATGAGTTATCAGTATCTTAGAGAGCCGAATGACTGAACTGCAGCCAAGATTCGCAGTTCAACAACCAAAAATGGACACTACCGATATTATAAAATTAATATTCAATAAGAACTATACCTGTAACTGACCATCCAGCATCTGTGATTTTCAAATAATGGTATATGATTGAGAGCACAATTCCAATTTGATGCTATCCTGTATACGTATGTTCTACCCTTGGCTTGAAATCGAGCATGGAACTCATCAGGAACTTTTTTAACATCATTGATTCTGCAAAAAAATTATATCAAGAAATAGACAATGACAGAATCAAATCCACATTTATAACGTTCCAAATAAAATGGTAAATCAATATTAATACAGATTTAATAGTATCAGCTTTTTATTAAATAATAAATTATTAATAAAATAATTTATTAAATATACATGAATTATGAATCACGTTTATTATATCCTTGAAACCATAAGCCATAGGTGTTGACTGATATTCCATTATTAACTTAGTACGCAGTCACTGATTGGTTGACCTCCGTCTGCATGAAAAACGCCGTAATGTTCCATTTCCTTTTTTAAAAGTAAAACTGTAGTTCTGTTCTAGTTTAGTCCGTGCTCAACTGTGTGCCAGTTAGTTCATCTGTTTACTATGGAACGTTCAATTTTTATGGCATTCTACAAGTTTATGTTTGAAGTGTTTCTATCACCAATAAATGCAATTTATGTTAACAAGTATTATTTGGCAACATCAAGATTAAATTATTGTTAGTTATAAATTGTCAGCACATAAAAATCATCATTGTTGAATGTAAATGTATGTGTATAAAGTCTGTAATGCATATTTGCAAACAGCGCCACCTAGAGTCAACAATGTTAGTAGACGGTTATTTATGTTTCAGTATTTTTAATGATTGACATCAACATTTGAAACGAATAACCTAAGATATTAAAATTTTAGTTTTTGATTAAGTTATTGGTATAATAATTTCAACAAGATGTTCAGTTTCATAAGTTAAAGCAGAGGAATTCGTCACCTGCGCACATGCGGGAATTGAGTCCTAAGAGACGATAACAAGGCACGCTAAAAACACAAAGGCTCCCGGGTAGACGCTTATTTGTAAACAACGACACACTATGGCCCTCTGTCGCATGCGTAGGTGATGACATCCCCGCTTTTAATATACATGTTTTTTAAAAGCTTTACTCACCGACCATGTGAGACATTTGCATATTATACAAGCTGCAAATTTAGCGCACAATGTCGGCAGCATAGCCAGTTTGATAACAATTAATAATTTTATAGTGGCACTGTAAGCGTAATAACATTTTATTCAATATGGGTCCCATTCTGCACATAGCAACATAATGTAAAGCATTTTATTTTCACTGATAGAAATTTTCGCGATTTTATGTCATTTATGGAGACAAAATTTACAGTATTCAGTAGAATTTTGCTTCTAGAAAGGGTTATATGACTCACGCACATGGGTCAAATGCATTATTTACACAAAATGTTAATGTACATCAGAGGTACATTACTTGGGGTTTGCAACGCGCATAGTACTGTATGGTGACATCATGTCAAGATTCCATTCAAGTCTCATCTCATAGACGAGACCTTCTGACATGACATAGGCGGTTTGTAATAAAACATGTATTACCACATTCATAGTGAAAAAATGTAATACATGGAAAATGTACAGAAAATATAGTTATCGTAATCCGTCATATTGTGAGCACCTATTTTGATCCACCTGGACGTCCCAGTATCCTAGTTACCTCGGGCATGCGCATTCGCATTTTTCTGAGTTGGAACGCTTATGCGAGAGCGAGTTTGAAACGGAGTCTTGGTATTATGTCACCGTAGTTGCAAACCCCACGTAATGTATCTCTGCGTACATGTATTCAAACTTGCATAGTAGCGAGAGTACGTAACAACAAAAATTATACCAACCGTATATCCTGCTGAGCTATGAGTAGCTTGTTATTCAAAATTGTTTTGAGTACCTCGCCACTGAACGGTTGTTGGTTATTTCGTCTTACGAAATCAACATGTGCTGTGTTATTCAATGCGTGAACACCTGCATCAGTACGACTTGAAAAATATAATTTTGCCGCTTCCTGTGGTTTGAGTGTATGCAGTGCTCCCTACAAAAGTAAGTGATAAATATCTAAGCCATCACATAAGAAAGGGAAAATGTGGTACATATTGTTTTATACTAAAAGTGGTAAAAAAATAAATGCTGCTTGGGCCTATAAATATGATATATAGTAGATAATATTTGATAAAGTTGGTCCTAAGTAACTATTTAAAATAGCTAGATGTTTCGAGCAATGTTTTTTTATCGATAGCACAGAAGTAACTAACGTACGAACAACACACCACAAATATAAAGTGAAATCATGTGTGTTGAGGAGAATACTACCGTATGTTCCACCTTGGAACTGAAGAAACACTAAGTGAATCACAGTTCCTGATAGAGGAACTGTGAGTGAATTAACAAACTCTTCAACTCATTCCCTGCGCTCACCACCTAGTGCGCCTAAACATGTTCTTTTGTGAAATATTTCAGTAATTCTATTTTATAGTATGCATGTTCTCATGTTCTATGTCATGTTTTAAAATTTTATCCTGGATATGTATATCTTTATTCAGTACTATAGGCCATGGGCCTTACATGTACAATATTAAATATTCTTGAAAATAAATAAATAAACCCTCCCCAGTCATTCCATAAGTTTTCGACATTTCTGTAATGAAAAGAAAATAAACTTGCCTAGATTCACTAATGTATTTGAATTACTTGAATTAATTAACTAAATAAATTTGTATTCTGTTGCTGGAGAAAAATAAAAGTGTTGAATAAATTTTAGCCTAAGATTGGCATATTGTGGGCTAATTAGAAGCATGTGATATTCATTTTCAATTTGATTACAACAAAATGGACAAAACCTCAGTTCCAGTGGAACCCCCGTCCCTCTCCCAATCTCAATATTTAGGTCATGTGTAAAAATTCTAAAACAAGTCAGTGCCCTTTTATAAGTAGCATTTGAAAAATACTTTTCACTAGTCATATTAGAGGGGGGGGGCAAGGGTTATTTTCGTTCAACGTAATTGCAATATTTTTTTGTTCGTACAACGTAAATAGAAAAAATAAATTCCGTAATTCTGTAATCACAGGCTTAGACGTACAACGTAATAAATCAAATATTTTTTCCGTATACTGTAAAAATGTGTCATTTTTCCCGGTACGTACAAGAATTTACATCCAAATAAAAAAATCATAAAAAAAAATCCAGGGAAATTACATTTCAGAAACTGTAAAACGACTAGATGACACAATTCACTATAAAATTGAATGTCCAAGACGTAAAAGGCCCTCTAACCGAATGAAGAGCATTACGAGGGTAATATACGCATGCGTCTCTACACACGGCACAGTAATGGTGGAGCATTCAGTTGGAGAGCTCTTTGGACCATTCAATGTTCCATTTGTTAACACTGAAAACTGTAAAAAGCACTTTTTATTTCCCGTAAAACCGTACCAGCTACCCCCCTTGCCTCCCCTCATATTACATTTAAATTTACATTATATACGCATTTTGGGATACCCTACAACCCTAGTAAACCATTCTTGCACAGAAATATCAAAACTTCGTTGTTTAAATTCATATAGAAAGAGGTCATAGTTAGCCACCTGTTGTTTTACCCATACTTCACCAAAACCATATTTATTTAACAAGTTTTTGACGTACAGTGCCCAGCAATCTAACCCCTGGTTTGCCCGAGTATACTGGTATTGATAACAATCTCTAACAGTTTATGGAGTGTCTACTTTTATACATTTCAACCAAAAACGAATTATTTCAATGTTAATAAATGTATGTATTTGGTGTCTACCCAGCTCCCCCCTGACAGCACAATTTGTGGTTTTCAAATTTACCCCCAGACTAAATTTACAAAATTTTTCCTCTAAATTGCGCTGCCATACAAGAGAACTGGGAGAATTTTACAATCAAGAACTTTAAATGCAATACTTGGTTGTAATCCCCCAAGTTTATAAAGCATACTTTGTAGGGAATATAAAGCTTTCCTTGCCTGATCTGAAATATGTTTTTGTGCTTGGTACCAGATACCCGAACAACAGAAAATTACACCAAGATAATTGTATCTTGAGACAACTTCTATTTCTCCTCCTTTCCAAAACCATTTCTCAACTTGTTTTAATCTCCCTCTCTTCCGAAATACAATAATTTTAGATTTATTCAGATTTACATTCAATCTCCATCTACTACAATAATCAGCCAATCTATCTAACAAAAGCTGTAAACCAATAGAAGAACTGCTAAAAAGCGCGAGATCGTCTGCATAAAGTAAATACATTACTTTTAAAGTATTGGAATATACAACAGTCTCAACCCCTTGTGAAAGTGCATTTTCAATATTGTTAACATAAAAACAGAATAATAGTGGTGATATAACTGACCCTTGTTGCAAACCTACGTTTATTTTGAAAAATTCTGTGACCCAAATTCGTGTTTTGACAGCAGCTTGAACATGTGTAGGTACACATTGAAAAAACGGATGATAAGACTTTTCCTTTTATCCCAGCCTTGGCTAATTTATTGAACAATGATGAACACGGTCAAAAACTTTTTTGTAGTCAATAAATGCACAGTAAAAACAGCTTTTTAAATGAAATACATATTTTTCAATAAGTGTAGACAGAATAAATCATTATCCATGGTACCCCTTCCCTTCCGAAAGCCATTCTGTACTTCAACTATTTTACAATAATTATCAATCCATGCCGAAAGTCTATCTGCCAAAATACTTGAGTACAATTTACTTATATTATTTAATAGCATAATACTATGATAATTTCCCGGTTCACCTTTAAACCCTTTCTTATAAATGGGAGTTATTAGTCCTAAAGCCCATTCCATGGGAAATAAACCCCTGTCCAAAACATTATTGAATAAAATATGTAATATATTTTATATCTCCTGTGGGGCGTGTTTCCAAAATTCTGCCGGTATTCCATCCTGACCAGGCGTTTAATTTTTTTCAATTTTGTTAAATGTTTTCTTATTTCTGCCATGGATATATGACAGTTTAAATCACTACAGTCCAAGTTAATATCATCCAAGTCATCAAAATTCAATTCATTAACATATTCATGGACCAATGAATGGAAGTCTGCCATACTCACATCTGTTGTAATTTCTGGATTAAATAACTTGCTAAAATAATCAAACCACTCATCTTGTGTAATATTATTTGATATACTCTCTGTTTTATCACTAAAGTTTCGCCAAAATTGCCTAGCGTTATGTTGGGTAGCAAGGTTTACCAAATTATCACGCATCTTGCTTTGATAAGCTAACTTTTTCTCCTTAATCAAACTTTTGTATCTTTTTTTCAGTTCTAAATAGAGTTCCAATTTTGGTTGTGTTCTACAGTTTCTAAAATGATTAAGGGCCTGGCAGACTTCGTTTTTTTTTATTTTACCACATTCCCTGTCAAACCATGGGTTATCACTTTTCCTTTTCGTTTTATTGTTTACATCAACTTTAATGTGATTACAACAGGAGTACATTATGTCATTTAAGGAAACTGTGGCGCTAGCCACATCACCCTATTCAATATTTTCATAGAAACAGTGGCGTAAATGATTGGTGGATTCTGAATAGAAATTATCATGATACATCTGTTTTTTGTCCTGATCCCATCTAAGTTTCCTGGGTATATTGTGTTGTTGAATAGCAAGATGTACCGGTACTTCTTTGTTGCCATTAACAACCCCAGTCTCAAAAGCTACTATAAATTCTATTGGCATATGGTCTGATTCAATACGTGATCCCACTGTAAAATCAGTACTCTTTCCCAAAAACTCTGTGCTTGCAAGAACATAGTCATTTACACTTAATCCAGTCTCAGAAATGGATGTAAAATTTCCACTTTTTCTATTCTTATATAGACTCCCATTTAAAATGTTATCCTATGCTATTGAGCCATTGCTTGAAATGTCTAGCTATTTTGAATATAGTTATACCGTCAACGATTACCAAATATTATCTACTATATCATCGTCCCTCAACACCTGTAGAAGGATAATGACTATATATATGTAATATAGTCTATACTATTTGCTCTAATATTATTTTTCTGTGCCTGGATTTCCTTAAGACACTAGTCACTGCTGGGACGGGCAGTGTGCCCTCTAACAGGACCACTGTGGTAACTTTGTAGGAACCCGGCCCAAGATCAAAATGAAATCAAGTTGGGTCAGCTTGTTCAGACTGCCAGAAAGAGAGATTTTCATGAAAAAACAAAACAAAATTGTATGTGGCTGTATGAGACTAAATTTAAATGTTGTGTACTACTGTAAAATACTTTTTTAAGCTTGAATTAATTTTCGCTAAAAAGTTTTTTTTGGTGTTTTGTATGGAATTTTTGATGAGAAAATAGCAAAAATAATATGTTTTACCATGAACTATGCACTATGTAGTTCCAAGGTTTTACCCATTTATTACTATGGGCAAAATATCAAAACAGTGAAATTAAATAACGATAATATTCATACATACATTCAATTTAGGTTATGTATAAGCTGACATAAATAATTTGAGTAGTATTTGATGGAAGCCATTTACACTAGACTTGGTCTATTATAATCCTACATGGAACTTGAACAAAACAGGCAATTCAATAATCTGTTGTATCTTACAGCAAGTCTCAGAAGTATTGGGGCAGCCAATTTGCAAACTCGCTCGCGAATTGGCTAACTGCTTTGGTTTTGACTAAACGGTTGGCTTTCGAATCTCGCTGGCGTCATCTTGCGGTCACGCCCATCTAAGGCGAATCTATGTAACAGTAGGGGACGATCCTCATACTTTAGGAGCTAATCAGCGACGGTCTTACAGTTGGATGGCGATTTCGCTTT